TTTTTTTGAAAATAGCCTACTTTGATCGAAACCAAAAATGCTTTAAATTGTATTTTAAAACATATCTAGGTATTATAAATGATAAAGAATGCTAATATAGATTTAAAATCGATATTTTTTTTGAAAATAGCCTACTATGATCGAAACCAAAAATGCTTTAAATTGCATTTTAAAACATATCTAGGTATTATAAATGATAAAGAATGCTAGTAAAGACATAAAATCGATATTTTTTTGAAAAAATAGCCTACTTTGATCGAAACCAAAAATGCTTTAAATTGTATTTTAAAACATATCTAGGTATTATAAATGATAAAGAATGCTAATATAGATTTAAAATCGATATTTTTTTTTGAAAATAGCCTACTATGATCGAAACCAAAAATGCTTTAAATTGCATTTTAAAACATATCTAGGTATTATAAATGATAAAGAATGCTAGTATAGATATAAAATCGATATTTTTTGTGAAAATAGCCTACTATGATCGAAACCAAAAATGCTTTAAATTGTATTTTAAAACATATCTAGGTATTATTAATGATAAAGAATGCTAATATAGATTTAAAATCGATATTTTTTTTGAAAAAAGCCTCCTATGATCGAAACCAAAAATGCTTTAAATTGTATTTTAAAACATATCTAGGTATTATAAATGATAAAGAATGCTAATATAGATTTAAAATCGATATTTTTTTTGAAAATAGCCTACTATGATCGAAACCAAAAATGCTTTAAATTGCATTTTAAAACATATCTAGGTATTATAAATGATAAGGAATGCTAGTATAGATATAAAATCGATATTTTGTTTGAAAATAGCCTACTATGATCGAAACCAAAAATGCTTTAAATTGCATTTTAAAACATATCTAGGTATTATAAATGATAAAGAATGCTAATAAAGATTTAAAATCGATATTTTTGAAAATAGCCTACTATGATCGAAACCAAAAATGCTTTAAATTGCATTTTAAAACATATCTAGGTATTATAAATGATAAAGAATGCTAGTATAGACATAAAATCGATATTTTTTTTGAAAATAGCCTACTATGATCGAAACCAAAAATGCTTTAAATTGTATTTTAAAACATATCTAGGTATTATAAATGATAAAGAATGCTAATATAGATTTAAAATCGATATTTTTTTTTGAAAATAGCCTACTATGATCGAAACCAAAAATGCTTTAAATTGCATTTTAAAACATATCTAGGTATTATAAATGATAAAGAATGCTAATATAGATTTAAAATCGATATTTTTTTTGAAAATAGCCTACTTTGATCGAAACCAAAAATGCTTTAAATTGTAATTTAAAACATATCTAGGTATTATAAATGATAAAGAATGCTAATATAGATTTAAAATCGATATTTTTTTTGAAAATAGCCTACTATGATCGAAACCAAAAATGCTTTAAATTGTATTTTAAAACATATCTAGGTATTATAAATGATAAAGAATGCTAATATAGATATAAAATCGATATTTTTTTTTGAAAATAGCCTACTTTGATCGAAACCAAAAATGCTTTAAATTGTATTTTAAAACATATCTAGGTATTATAAATGATAAAAAATGCTAATAAAGATTTAAAATCGATATTTTTTTTGAAAATAGCCTACTTTGATCGAAACCAAAAATGCTTTAAATTGTATTTTAAAACATATCTAGGTATTATAAATGATAAAGAATGCTAATAAAGATTTAAAATCGATATTTTTTTTGAAAATAGCCTACTATGATCGAAACCAAAAATGCTTTAAACTGCATTTTAAAACATATCTAGGTATTATAAATGATAAAGAATGCTAATAAAGATTTAAAATCGATATTTTTTTTGAAAATAGCCTACTATGATCGAAACCAAAAATGCTTTAAATTGTATTTTAAAACATATCTAGGTATTATAAATAATAAAGAATGCTAATATAGATATAAAATCGATATTTTTTTTTTGAAAATAGCCTACTATGATCGAAACCAAAAATGCTTTAAATTGCATTTTAAAACATATCTAGGTATTATAAATGATAAAAAATGATAATATAGATTTAAAATCGATATTTTTTTTGAAAATAGCCTACTATGATCGAAACCAAAAATGCTTTAAATTGTATTTTAAAACATATCAAGGTATTATAAATGATTAAGAATGCTAATATAGATTTAAAATCGATATTTTTTTTGAAAATAGCCTGCTATGTTCGAAACCAAAAATGCTTTAAATTGTATTTTAAAACATATCTAGGTATTATAAATGATAAAGAATGCTAATATAGATATAAAATCGATATTTTTTTTTTTGAAAATAGCCTACTATGATCGAAACCAAAAATGCTTTAAATTGTATTTTAAAACATATCTAGGTATTATAAATGATTAAGAATGCTAATATAGATTTAAAATCGATATTTTTTTTGAAAATAGCCTACTATGATCGAAACCAAAAATGCTTTAAATTGTATTTTAAAACATATCTAGGTATTATAAATGATAAAGAATGCTAATATAGATATAAAATCGATATTTTTTTTTTGAAAATAGCCTACTATGATCGAAACCAAAAATGCTTTAAACTGCATTTTAAAACATATCTAGGTATTATAAATGATAAAGAATGCTAATATAGATATAAAATCGATATTTTTTTTTTTTTGAAAATAGCCTACTATGATCGAAACCAAAAATGCTTTAAATTGTATTTTAAAACATATCAAGGTATTATAAATGATTAAGAATGCTAATATAGATTTAAAATCGATATTTTTTTTGAAAATAGCCTGCTATGTTCGAAACCAAAAATGCTTTAAATTGTATTTTAAAACATATCTAGGTATTATAAATGATAAAGAATGCTAATATAGATATAAAATCGATATTTTTTTTTTGAAAATAGCCTACTATGATCGAAACCAAAAATGCTTTAAACTGCATTTTAAAACATATCTAGGTATTATAAATGATAAAGAATGCTAATATATCTATAAAATCGATATTTTTTTTGAAAATAGCCTAGTATGATCTAAACCAAAAATGCTTTAAATTGTATTTTAAAACATATCTAGGTATTATAAATGATAAAGAATGCTAATATAGATTTAAAATCGATATTTTTTTTGAAAATAGCCTACTATGATCGAAACCAAAAATGCTTTAAATTGTATTTTAAAACATATCTAGGTATTATAAATGATAAAGAATGCTAATATAGATATTAAAGAGATTTTTTCGATTTTCAAGAGGCTACAAGTCATGGTAAAGTCAAAATATAGTCATATGGGGTATTTTTGTAAAGCTTTTGCTGAGAACTTTAAGATTGAACTCAATATAATATCTAGTTTGAAAAAAAGTCTGGTGCCGCAAGAATTCTAAGAAAATTACTATTTTTCCTAGGTTTTCCAACTTTGACAGCTTCAAAACTACGGAAAATTTGAGAATTTTCAAAAATGACTTTCGATCCCCCTAATTGCTTATGTTGTGTGATCAAATGGCAAAAGAATTATTTTTCGAGACCCTTATGGCTCGGCTGTGAACCTGATCACCAAATTTGTTGACCCAAAAAAGACGTTTTTAAATATGGAACATGGTTTTTATCATCATATGCCAAAAACAAAAGTGAATAGGATTGGAAAGTTTTGGAATTCAAAATAATTGAGTTTCAACTTTTCACCATGCTACGGACACGTCGAAAAATCCGTTATTTTTTGCTTTGAATTTCAAAAAACCGTTTAATTTCCATGAATATTTCTTGCAAACACTGGCAAAACCAAGGCTTGGGCAAACGATTCTTATTCTTAGCTTCATGTTTAGCTAAGTTTAGCTAAAATCATCCAAGAAAAATACTAGAAATTAAATATTTATGCTCAAAATTTTAAAATTGACAAATTTTTAACGTTTTTAAAATATTCAAACACTAGGTCGACTAAATTCAAACATGTCGAAAATATTCGACTCTGAAATGTCCGTAGCATGCTTTTCACAATGATTCAGATTTGAAAAATGTGTTTAAAAATTCCTTGTGCACAATATTTTTCCGACACATTAGAAAATTGAAAGTTTTTGTAAATTTATCTTGATTTGATTTATTTAGCATCTTCTACATAATGTTTTCGTTCATTACTCAAAAAATCAGTCCTTAATATAAAGGATAAACATGATTTTTTACCAAAAGTTTGTAAAAGTTTATCAAAAAATATTGTGCATGATCATATTTTGTATGCAAATTTATGTAGACTTTGATCGCAAATATCTCGAAAACGGCATCAAACGGCATGTCCCCAGTAATATGGGAGATAGATTTAAGCTTAATTAATTGATTTATATAGGTTTCAGAGAGGTCTTTGGAAGACTTTTTAACTTATGAATAGTTTAACTTTTGTAAAACTACTCAGATTTCAATTGCATTTTTAAGACTTAATAAGCAGTTTTCTTTTGATTTGGTAGTTTTAATATGCAAATCTAAGCTTAACTTAGCTAACGACAGCTAGCAAGATAAGGAAATAACAACTTAAAGTAGAGATAATCAAAGTTTTTTTTTTCATATACAAATTGTAAACAAATTTTTGTTGAAAATAAATTAAAGATTTCTGGAGCTAGACATCAAATTGAAACGAGATATTTGCACTGAATATGCCTTAAGTTAAGATCTTTAATCTGGCATTTAAAAGATGAAGTTTAATTATTATGTTATTTTTGAATTTTTGAACATTTTTTCCGAATCTGAATCATTGTGCTTTTGTGACTCGTTTTTGATTTTTTGGAATATGAATTTTTGAAATGTGAATTTCGATTCTGTTTTTTACAGATGTAGAATTTCAGACACAAAATTTTCTTCACAGAAAATTTTCAGCTATTATGATCCATTACTTTCCAAAGTTCATAGAACTGATTTTTTTCAATCTGAATAAATGCAATATGTACATTCAATCGTGAATATGGTGTGAATATAAAAATTCGAACAGCTGATTTTCTCCTTATTATCAGCATCGCGCATACAGTTAAAGAACGTAAATAACTCAAACTTAGCACGCACTAATATACAGTCATTTTATTATTTTTTCTTGCAAATATCAAAACAGTTCTCTCCTGAATTTCATAACATCTTAACCTTTTGGATCATTTGTTGAAGATGTCGAGTAGCGTTTTTCGGGTACTGTCTACCTTAACATCATTAAGATGCTTATCTGCATTACCTGCAATCAATCGAGTATTTAATAGTTCTATATCATCAAAATATCCAATTTCAGCTTTGAATTACAAGTTTCGTGAGTATAATAATTGAAAGATAATGAAATTGACTTTTTTTTGTGACTCGATAAGATATCAGAAGTCATATGAAATATATCATTTTCTAATAAGTTCATACGGTTGACAAACTTCGAGGCCCAAAGTTCAAGTGAAAATGGTAACTGAAAATATTCACATTCCAGTGATCCGTGAAAATTCTATTAATGCTGGATCTAATGATGTAATTGACTTGACTAAATTCGTTACTTATGAGGAAATAAAGGAACTTCCCAGTTATCCAGCAAAAATGTTAATTGATGTTAGAGAGCCAAAGGAATTGGAAGAAACAGGACGAATCCCTACATCAATAAATATCCCACGTGAGTAGTTATTCAATATCATGTGTTAAAATGTCATTCATTCCATCAATTTCATTCGAATTCAAGTGAAACAAGTTGCAGAGAAGTTATCTCTAGATTTTTCGTCCGATAACTTCAAAACTCTTTTCCAACGTGAAAAGCCAACTGTTGATACTGAAATTATATTTTACTGCAAAATTGGAGCTCGTTCGCAGTCTGCAACTGATTTGTGTTATAAACTAGGCTATAAAAAGTAAGAATGAGATGTTTTGGGTATTTTCAAGGTCATTCTATGTTGGCACCGATTATAAGCAGAAAGAAGCATCGATATGTTAATAAGGGTTAATAACAAATATCCTCATGTCATTTTTATCCATTTCATTAACCGTTAACCATTGTCATTAATTTTTGTGTTCCTTAAAATTGCCACTTACACATCATTTATTTCCTTTCATTTAGTGAAAGTGGTTACAGAAACACTTGAGCTTTCTACCCACGAGTTTGTTAATAGATTCCGGCGATTGAAACCTACTATTTGGACTGAAGTTATTTTTACATGTCGATCTGGTAAACGTGCTGAAGATGCCTGTGAAATGGCTAGAAATTTAGGATTTAAAAAGTAATTTCTATAATCGGTGTTGGTTATTCTTTTTTTTATAATATATGCTCTAAAGTGAAACTATGTAGCCAGGCTAGCATAACAGTATGATTTAAGAATGATAAAAACAGTGATTAATAATGAAAATAATTTTAATTTCAGTGTGAAGAACTATAAAGGATCTTGGATGGAATGGGCCGAAAAGGAAGGTCTTAAGAAGTAAATTCCACTGCCTTAAAAATAGAAATGTGTACAACCAGTAGCAAATAAATAAATACATTTTCATTGCATTTTAAAATCATTTTACAATTTATTACTACTAGATATAAAGTATGCTCAGCATTAGTCCTTTTGTTTAATAGGTTTTGATCCAGGCATTATTTCATATTCTTCATCATATCGTGGGAAAGCTGCTCTTCCTGTTGCTACGTCGTGTTTAATTGATGCATGATCTTGAGACTTTTCATACTTTCCTTCTAAAGCTGCAGCATTTTTTTTCTTCATTTGCATTATGGCTAAATTTTTCAGTAGCTCTTCCTGAGTCGGTGGATCTTGCCTGTACACAAAAAATATATTTCAGAAAAGTAAAGTTTTATGTAAGATAAAATGTTTCGAAAATCACCTTCTTCCTCTCAACCATGACTCCCATTCAGCTGTAAGTTCATGTCCATAATCCAATTCAGGCTTTCCAGGAGGCTCGTACCACCTTGATGTCTTTCTTTTGCCTCTTGATGGATCTGCTTTAATTTCATAAAATTTATTTCCCAAATAATCTTCACCTTTATAATCTCCTTTTATCTGACGTGGACGAAATGAATTAAGAAAATTCTGTATAAGGATCCTAATGATTGGTCTTCCGTTGTTTGACATTATATTTATACGCTTTATTAAATAAAAGTATTATTTTACGTTGTTTTTTTTTTGTTTTGATAGCTTTAGAAACAACGACAACATGTTAAAATCGAGTATTGTCAGCATGTCCAACATTTCAAAAAATTAAAAACTGTCATTTTAATATTATTAAACATACATTTACTGAAAATTTAAAGTTAAAGCACAATAAATAAATATTTTCGTTCCTTACATAAATTTTATTATTTTATTAAAGTAGAAGTAGAGTTGCTGTTAAATTAATTGGAAAAATAAGCAAAAAAATTCGCGGTACACTTCAAATGATTTAAAATCCACCCTTTCAGACGCGTTCTTCAGTCATCACTAGTCTTGAATCTCACAAATGATTAATGACCATACTTTTGGAATTCCCATTCTCTGTTATCAAGTGGGCAGACTTGTCGAGTTTTTAACCATCTTGAGATACAGTGGAAGTGAAATGCATGCTAAAACAAAGATTAGTCCATAAATAATTTGATTTGATTAATTCAAATTATGATAGAACTTACATTGCAGACTCCCCAAGCAACTGTACATTCTTCACTGGTGGCACTCGCTTGGTTTGCCTGGCATTCAATGCAGAGATCCATAATGTGATTACGACAAATGGCGCAATTATCAACTACAATATCTGGAACACAAATAAATATTATATTTAATAAGCTTCATTTCAATGATTTATTAAAATTATAGCATTCAATGGAAGAACTGGATCTAATACAAGGTTAAAAATTTAACTTACCCCAAGCCCAAAGAGCTACTGCATTCCACTATAAAACAGATAAACAAGGATAAATTACTTATATGGACCAACTTAATGCCTTATAAACGTCATTAGATAACATTTTTAACAAAAGCGAACAAAATTTGAATATCATTGAAAATTAAAAACAAAGAAATCTTAATTATTATACCTTTTTAACTTCAAATCTCTTTTTTTCTCCTTTTGGCCCAGATGAGCTGGATGGTAATTGATCCATTTCTTCATCGTCAATCTCCATTTTTGTGCTTTTTTCGTATTTATTTAACAAAATTAATCAATTTATAAATTTGGTGAAATCAATTGTTTAATAAGAGAGGTGATCGAGAAAATAATATTACATGTTGCGGGTTGCTCAAATTTTATTGCTCAATTTTGTGCGGCAAATTTCAAATCTAGTCTGTTTACTTTTTTTAATATTTCACAATAAGTCGTAATTTAACTAGTATAAAAATATACGATTTTTGGATCAACTATAACAGAAATAATTCAACTGTGATATATAATTTTTGTTAATAAACGTGATTATTTTTTTATAAGCAAATTAATAAAGGTAAACTTATAAATTCTAATAAAATAAATTAATTTAAAAACTAGTGTATCGGGTAGAAACCCAATGCGGATTATATTCACACCGTACCATCAAAAGTCTTATGGATAGACCAAAATTTGCTCAGCATAAGTATGAAGGTATGAAGCTTGATAAGTCAACTGAGCTTCACTCAGCATAAGTTCTAAGGTAAAAAGCTAGCGAGTCAGCTGAGCTTCGCTCAGCATAAGTTTGAAGGTATAAAGTAGTAAAAACAGATTTTTCAATCTGAACAAAACCAATAGATTCACACGTGAAAACGGTGTAAATATAAAAAATTTTTTGGGACCTTTTATTTAAGGGATCATTATAGTCTTACGTTAGATCAGTTTTTTCGGAACTTTTGTCTAAGGGATCATTATAGTCATACGCTAGGATTTTAAAAATTAAAAATTATATTTCAAGTTTATCAATTACTTTCGGATTCTTCACTATTTGATTCAACTTCTGGTTCTTCCGGTTCCCAAATCTTAAAAAGCTGAAAAATTTCAAAAAAAATTTTTTTTATCATTCATACATATATTGCCCCCCCCCCCCCCCCTAAAGTACACTTTTGCCAAAGCTATTTCACAATTAAAAGCAACATTTTTTTATATTCTAAAAATGATTACAGATGTCAAAAGAAAAATATTGGCCGACGAGGCTGCATAACGGTGAATTGCCATCTGGATACTACATCGAATTTATGGAAGCTAACATTCGAAGTGAAGATGAAATTAATTACAAAATATACGGTGAAGAATATGAAGACATACAAGATGAGAATGTTCTTTTAGTTCAATCATACAGAAGTATTACATATTCTAAGGATATAAAGCTTACAATTAAAATCGTGCCACATTCTTTACTATCGAGATTTGAAAATCTTAAATGGCTAGAACTGCATTGTGTTGGATTAGAGGAATTGAGGGAAAACATGTTCAGCTGTAATCCTAATATAAAAGAAGTTCGTTTGACTCATAATAAACTCACCAAAATTCAAGCTGGAGTATTTAAAAATTGCAAAAATATGCGTTGGGTTGATTTAGGAGAAAATGAAATATCAACGATTGATGATGATGCATTTATTGGATTAGAAAATCTTGATTGGCTGATACTTAATAATAATCGAATTACGTACTTAAAAAATTCATATTTCAAACCATTGAAAAATCTCCATTCTCTGTACATTTCTGGGAATTTATTAGAGCAACTTGATGAAAATTTGTTTCATGGTCTTGATGAACTCAGAGAAATCAGAATGAGCAAGAACAATATTAAAAGCCTCCCTGAGAACTTAATAAGGTTTTTACCAAAACTTTCGTCTATTGATTTAGATAACAATCAAATTGAAGACCTTAAACCTGAATTTTTAGCATTACCATTGCAATTGAATTGTTTCGATATATCAGGTAACAATATTCGAGTAATCGATGCAGACTTATTTAAAGAGCAACCGAATATCTCCTACGTCAAATTTTGTAATAATCAAATAGAAAAGTTACATTCAGATACTTTTAAAACATTGAATAATTTGCAGACTTTAAAAATTAGATTCAACAAATTAACTGATATTGATAAAAAACTATTTGACAATAATTCAAAAATGTTTGAATTAAATTTAAGAGGAAATCAAATCAGCAATATTCATCCAGCAGCTTTTTCAAAGCTTAAAAATGTTTGTAAGCTTACGTTATCAGAAAATTGCATAACCGAATTAGCTGAAAGTATTTTTGACGGCATGACTTCGCTTTCACAATTATATTTGAACAATAATAAAATCAAAGAACTTCATGTTAATCTTTTTAGAGATACAAAGCTTTACTCCCTCTTGCTCGATTATAATGACATTCAAACATTCGATCAAAAAGTTTTTGAGTTCGTACCTAATTTGTCTATGTTTGGGTTCACTAATAATCCTGGAAGTCACATGATAAATGAAAAATTTCTAAAAATATTCAAACAAGGGAAACGATTCTTGCTCTATAAATATTATCTGAAAGATGATTTTAGTGATGAGTGCATATCATACGAGCTATTGAATAAAAAGGAAGAAATAAAGAAAGAAAAGAAAGCTGATGCTATAGATGAGTTTGATGATGACTGTGACTTAGGCTTTGGATTGTTTGATTAAACATTTGTTTGCAAATATGGATATTACATAATTGGTTGATTTTAAATGCACATGCACTTTTGAATAAAATGTTTCTAATCCCATTCTTTTTTTTGAGGACAACTACACAAACTGGTACCGTAATTGATCACGTTTGTAAAGTTAATGATGGAGTAAATTGGGAGAAGTCAGACTTTATAATCATGATTCGATTAAAAATAGAATAAAAGTTGGAAGCTGCTATCAGCCAGTATTCAAACAGAATAGATATAATCAAATAGAATTAAGAATTCTTTTAAAGGTAAAAAAATAATTTGCAACGTGACTACTTGAACATCTCTAAAGATGAAACAGAAAATTGATCAATAACCTCAAGAATAATTTTTAAAACTCAAAGACAAAATTTATAAATTCGTATGCAACATAAAGATTATTTAGTATCAAGATGTCTTTTACTTCAAAAAAAAATCTTTTTTTTCACGCATAATTCAAATTTCTTTTTAAAACCGGAAAACATGAGGTGATGTAAAAATTTGCCAGAAGATTAATGTTAACAACCGCACGCTTTTAACACTTTTCGTAACAATATCTGTAGAAATGATAAACTGATTTGAAATCATTCACATAATCTTATTTACTGTTGAAAAATGCTTTCCTAAAAAAACGTAATAAAGTTGTTATGAAACTTTACATCAAATACAAATGTTGTATGAATTAACGTCGTGTAAATAATGCTACATGATTCATGCGAGATAGCATTCTGATAATTAAAATTCAACTAATTTGAATCATCTAAGCATTAAATTTGAAGTAGGAATAACTTTAAAAAGCTTTGATAAAACAGCTTAAAAATGCGCCATTTAAGATCATTTCTGATAATTTTATTAACAACACCGGAAAATTTTTTTACACCCAAGTTTCTACAGTAATACTTAGCAACATAATGCAGAAGAATAATGCAATAATTTCATTTTACAAAACACGATGACAAAATTAAATTCAACTTACTCTTTTTTTACAACTAGGAAAACTTATCCATTGATATTAATCCCAAAACCAAATCACCTTTTGTTGAGAAGGTAAGGTTAGAAACTAACCACAAAATCCAATTTGCATTTACTTCAATTCCGATAAGAAAAATGGCTTGTGATATGAAAATGCTTGAGAAATTTAACATTTTCTTGAATATCTAATCTTAACTTAAAAATGCTTTCAATTAGTTTTTTTGACTTATAATCATAATCATCTACCAAACGCTTTATAAACTTAATAAAAAAGAAATGATATATGAAATGCACGAGTTCGCAAAAAAAATATAAATTGATATTTTTTAACCTTACCGTGTCATTTAACGATTTAAGTACTAAGAAAATCAGAAAGGAGAGAAATCTTACAATAAAGGTTAATTAGCAATGATTGAGCCATAAACAAATAAAATCTTTATCTATAAATAAATCTCTTTCTTCCAAACATTTTACCGTAAAAGTCATAATTTTAGCACATTCCTTTGTTATTGTTTTCATGATCCTGTGGAGGTGTTATTACCAACACATTCTTCATAAATAGCACCACATTTAAAAGGGATGTTTGCAGCAGGTGGCTGAAATGGATCTAAAAGCGGAAATTAAAGAGAAATACTGCATTACTCCATAGAAGTTTGCGAGCAATTTACAGAAAAGTTTGCCTTTTCAGAATGGTTTGCATACTGAAGGTAAAAATGTTAACTGAAAGTTTACAATAATGAATGGACTATATTTAATAATTATTTTAAACAAAGGTCCAATTGCAACTTAAAATTAATAATATTTCAAAACCAACTGATAAAATTTGTTTAAAAATGAATAGACGAAGTTCAACAACCGTTAATTAAATTATTGAAACCTTTCATTTGAATAACTTTTGATTGGAAATTTGTACCAAAATTTGATTTTTTTTTGCAATTAAGATATTATAATTTGAAATTGCATTAGAAAAATATTCTAAACTCCCCTCAAATTGTACCATTCATTTATTCAAAATGAATTCATCTCTAAATTATGGGTTGAAAAACTTAAAAGTTTAAAATTTATTTCAAATTCCTACTCTCAATGTAAGCAATTTGATAGGAATACAGCAAAAAAAAGAATTAATCAACTCAGTCTTAATTACACAGTACGAAAATATTATTGCAAAAATTTCTAATGCGATGCCAAAAGCAGGACGTGCTTTTAATTTTGAAGACCGAATCCTATTTTTAAAAACTGAAGTAAATTAATTTAGCAAGATAAAAAGTCAATTTCTGAGAGTTTTGCTTAGCTATGTACAAATTAAAGATTTCCTTGGAATTTGAAAAAATCATCTTTTAGTCACCAAAAAACGAAAATCATAAGAATTTCAAGTCTTCAAATTTCATTCGATATTTATCATGGAAGCCAATAGATTTGCATAATAATGTCAAAAGTGCTACATCTAATATATTAATATGTCATGCTCAACAATACTTACTTGAAGAATGTGGCATCATTTTTTTAAAATATTTCATTAAACATGAAATAATTTTTCTAAAGCAGGTTAGTTAAATGAATGTAACACAAAAAGATTAAAAGCTTAAGAAATTTCTTATTGGTTCGATAGCTTCATGCTGATTGAATATGCTGTTGATGGGAAATCGAACAGACCTTTACGTAAATTTCACCTCATATTGAAATTCGACTTTAAAAGCAACACGTTTTTTTAACCTTTTGATAATCAAAAGAGTTAAGATTCCTTTAGATGAATAAAATATTCCATCATACATGTTTACCTCCGACTTTGATTTTTAAATCTAGAAGAAACCAGCATGAATATTTTTCATAATGCTTTCCACTTTATTTTTATTTTTCTTTCTTACATCAAAAATGAAATATGTCAATTAGTATCATTACAATGTGGAACCTATTCTGAAACCAAGAAAGAAAAATGATCATCCATTCCATATGTGACTTTAAGATAGCCATTTGTAGGTACATTTATACTTATAACCCATAAAAATATCCATCCAACAGCTTAAAATAAATCCCTGCGAGCAATAAAATTTTACTTCTTTGAAATTATCGTAGAATACTTCCATCCAGTCCGCTAAAACTACTCGAACTCTACACGAATGTTTTTTTTTTTATCATGTTATTTTTTATGAGCAAACATTGTGTGAATGAATGAATGAGTGTAAAATCCCATTGAGAGCAATGAATCTGTTGAGGAGTGTATATTATGAAGGGATTGTGTATACATTCATCACTCGACTTTAAATTGAGACTAAAGCTGCACACACAACTTATTATAAAATACAATAAGTATGAATGTTGTGTAAGAGGATTATGAACGGAGAGCTTGTGGATGCTAACGCTTAGATTTTTTTTTATTCAATTGAGCTTAATTCTCACAAGCGCTTTGAATCATGGTCTTGTGTTCATTTCATTTGAGCATGTTTAATTCTTTCAAAGTTAATTGGCATTTTCCTTTTTGTGTTCATCTTTTATATAACTTTTTCTAGTATTATTTAGTTAAAATCCACAACAGACAACTTTTGGTCATTTTGAATAAAATGTATTTAGTTTTATTTCACACATGCACATATTTGGAAGTTGCAGAACAATTTGTTTGCTTTACAATTTATATTTCAGTTAGAAATTAGAATATTTTTTTAAAAGTAGTCTCATATGCAAAGAATGTGTTGCTTTGTACACTTTGTAAGTTATTATTTTATTTGCTCTAATTAGAAGTGCTTTAAATTTTGCACAAACTTAAGTTGAGTTTATGATTAAAACTTCATTTACATCCATAATTTATATAACATTCAAAATGACAAATTAAGAAGAATTTGAGTTCATTTTAAAAACACCTTACAATGTCATAGAAAAAAATTCTATTCTCCTCACGGAATAAATCCTATCCAATATAAAATAAAATTCAATTGAGACCCAAATTTGATTTCAAAACACATCCGGACAAATCATAAATAAAAATGTACAGATGGTTGTTTTAAGAGCCACAAAAATAAACTTTTATTTCAAGGATTATTGAATTAGCTTGGTAGCACTTGAAAGATAATTCAGTGGATAATAAAACTGGCATTGTGAAAAAAAAATTCTGAACGTAAAAAAATGTAAAAGGACATCCAGCTAATTTATTCTACCTTTGTGCTCGTTCCATGAAAGCTTTTTTTGTCAAATAAATGATGGTGGGAAATTTGTTGAAAGAACAAATAATAAAGAATTTTATAAATTAGCATAGTCATTCATTCAGGAAGCACTCATTGCGTTTTTGCGATCATAAACAAAATTTGCATAAATTTTTTAGCTTCCATTTTTCCCAACCATTGAGTGTTGATGATGAGAAATTTTCATACATTATTCATTTTTTCTTTCCTTCTCACTTATTGTCACATGCATAACTTAACATAAATCTCATTTTATGTTATTATCTGTGAAATAAAATCTCGATTTAGTCACAACTTTGCTATGATTACATAAATTTGCATAAATTTATTTTTTTTCCTTATTCTCATGCTCTTTATCATCCAATTTATACTTTTTTTTTGGTGCGTATCTACCTAATAAAGTTCATCATATCATAATTTATGGGTGGATAATATGAAAACAGAAATGAGGTAAAGGTAAGAGATGTTTTGGAATAATAAATGAGATTTTTACTTCGAGTTACTGATTTCAAGAATAAATACACGATTAATTCAATTCGGAAGGGAAATTTAAGTGTTTTGAAATTTAAATGATAAAATTTGAAATGCAGAACTACTTTAAATACAGTAAACCTCATAAAAATAGCAAACAAACTCAAATTGGATTTTTGGCAGGCTGAAAATATCTGTTTATTTATTTTAGACTTGCGCATTCATAAATTAAGTTTATAAAAAATATTTTTTTTCAAATTTCAAGATAGTGACATCCTTGTCGAGATTTATCTGAAAAGCTGTGTGATTTAGACTTCATTGTGGGCGTGAAGTACGGCCGAGACCCATATCGACACAGTTCAAAAGTTATACCTAATTTATGTCATAATTATGTCAGCTACAAAAAAACTTAGTTTGAATTTTGTCACCCTCGGGAACACTATGAACCCGTATTTTTTGGATTTTGGTCCAAATCTCGGCCATACTTCACACTTCTTTGAACCACATTTTCTCGTAAATGTTAAAATATTATTAAAAAGAAATTAATCCTGAATTATGTCGCTATTTTGTCAAGTCTTTTAAGATAAAGAAAATTTCTTTTTGGTTTCCACAGTGAAGAGTATGAACAAAATTCAGGCGAGATAGTCGAAATTTTAGCTTTCGATTTTTTTTAAGCTATGCATTACAAAAAGTAATATTAGCACGTGATTTATGTCAGAATTATGTCAATTCAAATAAAAAATCCAAAAAAATTTTTTGGACAAAGTACACCATAAAAAATCAATTTTCAATTTTGGACTAGGGGCAACCCTAGTCAAAATCAATTTTGTCACTTTTTTCTTCAAGGGTTTATCCAAATGGATTGAAACTTTGCAAAAATATTCTGGTGCTTAAAATAAATACAAATAAAACATCGTAAATTTTTTTGAGCAAAGAACCAAGCAGGAAATACATTTTCAATTTTGGACTAGGGGCAACCCTAGTCAAAATCAATTTTGTCACTTTTTTCTTCGAGGGTTTATACAAATGAATTGAAACTTAGCATAAATATTTTAGTGCTGAAAACAAATACAAATAAAACATCGTAAAATTTTTTTGAGCAAAGAACCAAGTAGAAAATACATTTTCAATTTTGGACTAGGGACAACCCTAGTCAAAATCAATTTTGTCACTTTTTTCTTCGAGGGTTTATACAAATGAATTGAAACTTTGCATAAATATTCTAGTGCTTAAAACAAATACAAATAAAACATCCTAAAATATTTTTGAGCTAAGAACCAAGTAGGAAATACATTTTCAATTTTGGACTAGGGGCAACCCTAGTCAAAATCAATTTTGTCACTTTTTTCTTCAAGGGTTTATACAAATGAATTGTAAATTAGCATAAATATTTTAGTGCTTAAAACAAATACAAATAAAACATCGTAAAATTTTTTTTGAGCTAAGAACCAAGTAGGAAATACATTTTCAATTTTGGACTAGGGGCAACCCTAGTCAAAATCAATTTTGTCACTTTTTTCTTCAAGGGTTTATCCAAATAGATTGAAACTTTGCATAAATATTCTAGTGCTTAAAACAAATACAACTAAAACATTTTAAAATTTTTTTGAGCAAAGAACCAAGAAGGAAATACATTTTCAATTTTGGACTAGGGGCGACCCTAGTCAAAATCAATTTTGTCACTTTTTTCTTCGAGGGTTTATCCAAATGGATTGAAACTTTGCATAAATATTCTAGTGCTTAAAACAAATACAAATAAAACATCCAAAAATTTTTTTGAGCAAAGAACCAAGGAGGAAATACATTTTCAATTTTGGACTAGGGGCGACCCTAGTCAAAATCAATTTTGTCACTTTTTTCTTCGAGGGTTTATACAAATGAATTGAAACTTTGCATAAATATTCTAGTGCTTAAAACAAATACAAATAAAACATCCTAAAATATTTTTGAGCTAAGAACCAAGTAGGAAATACATTTTCAATTTTGGACTAGGGGCAACCCTAGTCAAAATCAATTTTGTCACTTTTTTCTTCAAGGGTTTATACAAATGAATTGTAACTTAGCATAAATATTTTAGTGCTTAAAACAAATACAAATAAAACATCGTAAAATTTTTTTTGAGCTAAGAACCAAGTAGGAAATACATTTTCAATTTTGGACTAGGGGCAACCCTAGTCAAAATCAATTTTGTCACTTTTTTCTTCAAGGGTTTATCCAAATAGATTGAAACTTTGCATAAATATTCTAGTGCTTAAAACAAATACAACTAAAACATTTTAAAATTTTTTTGAGCAAAGAACCAAGAAGGAAATACATTTTCAATTTTGGACTAGGGGCGACCCTAGTCAAAATCAATTTTGTCACTTTTTTCTTCGAGGGTTTATCCAAATGGATTGAAACTTTGCATAAATATTCTAGTGCTTAAAAAAAATACAAATAAAACATCCAAAAATTTTTTTGAGCAAAGAACCAAGCAGGAAATACATTTTCAATTTTGGACTAGGGGCAACCCTAGTCAAAATCAATTTTGTCACTTTTTTCTTCGAGGGTTTATACAAATGAATTGAAACTTAGCATAAATATTTTAGTGCTGAAAACAAATACAAATAAAACATCGTAAAATTTTTTTGAGCAAAGAACCAAGTAGAAAATACATTTTCAATTTTGGACTAGGGACAACCCTAGTCAAAATCAATTTTGTCACTTTTTTCTTCGAGGGTTTATACAAATGAATTGAAACTTTGCATAAATATTCAAGTGCTTAAAACAAATACAAATAAAACATCCTAAAATATTTTTGAGCTAAGAACCAAGTAGGAAATACATTTTCAATTTTGGACTAGGGGCAACCCTAGTCAAAATCAATTTTGTCACTTTTTTCTTCAAGGGTTTATACAAATGAATTGTAAATTAGCATAAATATTTTAGTGCTTAAAACAAATACAAATAAAACATCGTAAAATTTTTTTTGAGCTAAGAACCAAGTAGGAAATACATTTTCAATTTTGGACTAGGGGCAACCCTAGTCAAAATCAATTTTGTCACTTTTTTCTTCAAGGGTTTATCCAAATAGATTGAAACTTTGCATAAATATTCTAGTGCTTAAAACAAATACAACTAAAACATTTTAAAATTTTTTTGAGCAAAGAACCAAGAAGGAAATACATTTTCAATTTTGGACTAGGGGCGACCCTAGTCAAAATCAATTTTGTCACTTTTTTCTTCGAGGGTTTATCCAAATGGATTGAAACTTTGCATAAATATTCTAGTGCTTAAAAAAAATACAAATAAAACATCCAAAAATTTTTTTGAGCAAAGAACCAAGGAGGAAATACATTTTCAATTTTGGACTAGGGGCGACCCTAGTCAAAATCAATTTTGTCACTTTTTTCTTCGAGGGTTTATACAAATGAATTGAAACTTTGCATAAATATTCTAGTGCTTAAAACAAATACAAATAAAACATCCTAAAATATTTTTGAGCTAAGAACCAAGTAGGAAATACATTTTCAATTTTGGACTAGGGGCAACCCTAGTCAAAATCAATTTTGTCACTTTTTTCTTCAAGGGTTTATACAAATGAATTGTAACTTAGCATAAATATTTTAGTGCTTAAAACAAATACAAATAAAACATCGTAAAATTTTTTTTGAGCTAAGAACCAAGTAGGAAATACATTTTCAATTTTGGACTAGGGGCAACCCTAGTCAAAATCAATTTTGTCACTTTTTTCTTTAAGGGTTTATCCAAATAGATTGAAACTTTGCATAAATATTCTAGTGCTTAAAACAAATACAACTAAAACATTTTAAAATTTTTTTGAGCAAAGAACCAAGAAGGAAATACATTTTCAATTTTGGACTAGGGGCGACCCTAGTCAAAATCAATTTTGTCACTTTTTTCTTCGAGGGTTTATCCAAATGGATTGAAACTTTGCATAAATATTCTAGTGCTTAAAAAAAATACAAATAAAACATCCAAAAATTTTTTTGAGCAAAGAACCAAGTAGAAAATACATTTTCAATTTTGGACTAGGGGCGACCCTAGTCAATTTTATCACTTTTTTCTTCAAGGGTTTATCCAAATAGATTGAAACTTTGCATAAATATTCTAGTGCTTAAAACAAATACAACTAAAACATTTTAAAATTTTTTTGAGCAAAGAACCAAGAAGGAAATACATTTTCAATTTTGGACTAGGGGCGACCCTAGTCAAAATCAATTTTGTCACTTTTTTCTTCGAGGGTTTATCCAAATGGATTGAAACTTTGCATAAATATTCTAGTGCTTAAAAAAAATACAAATAAAACATCCAAAAATTTTTTTGAGCAAAGAACCAAGGAGGAAATACATTTTCAATTTTGGACTAGGGGCGACCCTAGTCAAAATCAATTTTGTCACTTTTTTCTTTGAGGGTTTATCCAAATAGATTGAAACTTTGCATAAATATTCTAGTGCTTAAAACAAATACAACTAAAACATTTTAAAATTTTTTTGAGCAAAGAACCAAGAAGGAAATACATTTTCAATTTTGGACTAGGGGCGACCCTAGTCAAAATCAATTTTGTCACTTTTTTCTTCGAGGGTTTATCCAAATGGATTGAAACTTTGCATAAATATTCTAGTGCTTAAAACAAATACAAATAAAACATCCAAAAATTTTTTTGAGCAAAGAACCAAGTAGAAAATACATTTTCAATTTTGGACTA